GAAGCAGGTAGACTTCCATTTGTGGACATTTAAAGCAGCAATTAGTAATGACCTGAATTAAATGTGAGATTGGCTCTGGATAACTAATCTAAACCACTCTTATAATAAAGTTTAGCTTAATTAGAAATACCAGATGCTTTGCTTATTTAGCTTTTGCTTTATTTGAAGAAAAATGGCCTCAGTCTTTTTATATGGGTGCACATGCACACAGTTTATTGTATGAAAATAACTATTATGTACACTATTTATTGGATGTCTCTTGGTTCTAATTATTTGGTATAGAAGTAACAGTTGCAAAACGTTACTTACTGTCAGATCAAACCAGCATTTTGTAAAGTAGGAATCACAATTGTAAAATAGAAGAGTAGCGGAAATGTTTGTTAATGCTAATCAAGGTTAATTGATATTTCAACAGCCGCTCTAAATCACGATCACCATCTTTAAAGAGAAGGTAAGTTGAATCTGCAGGTTGAATTATTATACTCTTGCATGCAGTTAACTAAGAAAAATAATTTATAGCAATGATCTCAGCATAGATCTGTGGAGGATGTAGATAGTGTATTGTGAGGTTCTTCATCTAACTAAAAAAAGTTATAGATACATAACAGTAAAATTTTACAAGTCTCCCCAGTTTGAATTAGTATTCAGAGCTATTCTCTAAAGTGGGAAGTTCTTATGTGTATTAAATCATTGAGCGCATTGTCTTGGCTGTGTTAATGGACAATAAACTTAAATGGCTCATAGTCAGACTGAAAAGATAGAGTTACAACTGACCTTGAATAAACGGGAGTAACTGTGCTATACTGCAGAATAATCAATCTATATTTTGAATGGCAGCTGTTATCCAAGCAGAATAAATTTGGATTGTTAACCCAAATTAGTAATGTCTTTAAAAGCGTTTTACTTGATTTAATCTTCAGTCTTGCTTTTTCAGTTTTGATATGAGCCATTTATATCCATTCTCCATTAACTCACGGTAAGTATGCTGCTTCTTGAATGCCTTGAAAGCTTGGCAATACTTTCCTGTGGGAATGGGGCTGCATGAATTGTGGAAAGTTTGCTTTGGTACTTAATACTGAAAATTTATATGGTTTCCACTCCATTTCTAACTAACATGCTATTTTAAAAGATAACCCAAATAATTAGGTATTAGGATTAAAATTATTGCCCTAGAGTTAGTAACGGGCATCATTATAACAGCACTAATCCATTAATCTGGTTAAACTTTTCATTTAATTAACTTCTTGTGACTTGGTTTCTCCTCCCCCTCTTTTTTATTTCTAGTCGTTCACCATCGGGAAGCCCTCGAAGAAGTATCAGTCCTGAAAGAATGGATTAGAATGGCAAAGAACATGTTAGGAAGTTTTGTTTACGTAATTTTAAGGGATTTCTTTATTGAGAAATGTAAGGAATTAGTTGACTGAAGAAAATCTTTTCTAGGGTTAATGCAGCAAGGATCTGGAACTTTTAGTAAAATCTGTAAAAGCTGCTACAGTAGACTATAGTGCACAATTTCTTGTATGTAATAACATCCTATGATCTGAAAAGTGTCTTTTTATGGGCACATGAAATAAAATGTGTTTCTAACTTTGCTATAATGTTATCTGCTTCTGTTAATATTTCAAGTGCATGTTAAAAGCAAACTCCAAACAGATACCTTAGTGTTGTATCCAAATACTGTGCAAGGATATATTGACTTGTTACTACTAGGCTGCCTGCAATAGACTTATGTGATTTAATTGGTATTTTAGGCACAATCCTAATGACTTGAAATGGTGTGTTAAGGAAGCTGCTTGTCTGATTTTGTAATAGTATATAGAAATGTATTGGTTTGATCTGTTAATTCATACTGCAAGATGTTATTGTGTCTTATCCCAGGCACAGTTAACTATGTAAAGGCACCCCAAGATAGTTTCAGAAGGCAACCTGGCTCCAGTCTGGAATTATGAAACATGATTGGTGCTCTCTGTTGGATACAGTATCCGATAAATTGGGCAAATTTCAGAGCAGTATTTCTTATCCTTCACCAGAGCAAAATTTATTTCATGGGACTGGGGTTTACTTACCCTTCCATCCCTTGTGGAAGAAGAATGTAGGTGTGAAGATTGCTTATCTAAATTTGATAAAATTTAAGATAAAATTGTATTAGAACTAGTCCCTTGTACAAAGTTCGCTGAGAACAATCTTTGCTGTATCTGACAATCAAAATTGCAAAGGTTTTATTAAAACAGTTAAACACTGCTTCTTAGAGAAAAATGTAGGAGCTTCAGTATTACTCCACATTTCATTTCATTTGTATCCTTTTTCTCCTGGAATTCAGTATGATGTTGGTGTCTCTATCCCTAGATTAACCTCATAAGGTAGATGGAATAAAAGTGACTGACTCAAAGTCACTAAGTGAGATTCTATGGCTGAGGGAAAACTTGAATCTGAGTTTAATCCTAGTCCAACATCTTAATCACTGCACTACACACTAAGCCTCTTGTACAAGGAATAAGACCATTTCAAGACTCTTAAAAGTAAATATTTCCTATTAATTACTAGACTTATTGTTACAGCACGTGTCCTGGGAAGGGGCTGAAAGACATTTCAAGTCATGCCATGCACCATCTTAATATAGCCATATTTCCCAGGATTGCTTATGTTTGCTTTAAGGTGCAACATGTTTAAATGCAAAATGCTGCATGCCCCCAATGTCAAGACTTGAATTCAAGTATTTCTGCACAAGAGACACATGGCTCCAGCTGCATTTCATAAAATTTTAAGATTGCAGGGGTTCTGCAGTTGAAGGCAAGAACTTGCAAGGGCATTAAATAAGTTATAATGCTTTCTAAGGGATGCTGTATAGTTCAATGCTTAGCATGGCTGCAGTATCGCCCCAATAGTTCTGCATTTCCCTGCCACTTTTTATAGTCCTTCCTATTGGCCACTGTAATGCTATAAGCTAAATAAATTACAAAAGGTGAAGTATACTTTTGTGTTGAGAACAAACTTATTTTCCTAAAATAAAGCTTCAGTAGGTACTTTGACACAAATTCATTTCTTTGGTTAATTGCATAGACTTTCAGCTTTCTATCCTAAAAACTGCCATTGATTGCAGACTTAATCTACCATCTCATACTGCATTCATAAAGTGATACATTGTCTTATCAAGCCTAAAATTTTGTATATGATAGGATTCTGCAAACCCGACTTGAATGAGTTGATTCATAAGCCACTTGAAGTAGGAGAGGGTCTAACTTGCCCTATCTGATAGAAAATCCATGAGGGTTCACTGTTGATAAATCTGGACCTTGGGGTAGTTTTGTATGCCAAAAAGTTAAAATTTTTAAAGTGCCAATTTACCATATATGCTACTTTGGGGAAAGGTGGGATTGGCTTCAATGATACTTAGATGGGCATTGAGGTGGAATGTCATTAGTCTTTTTAAGCAGTAGTTCCTCTTACCCCGGCCTTTATATTGAGTGCTTTTTGCTGCGGGTATGCCACTATATGAAATGATGCCACCTCAAAGATTACAGAAATGATTGTGGAAGTGATCTGGCCTAGTAAATCATGCATTGATGTCTGGAATGTGATGTGCTTTATAATGGATTCATTTATTTCAAATCTCATTCTGATGAGAAAACAGTCTCAAATCCCTTTAAGCATGCTAGATAATGTTAGGGGAGAGCTCTAGTTATTCACCATATCAATTACCTTCCCTTTTGTTTCCTTTTATCTTGCCAGATCACAAGTAGAAAACAGCCATATTCTGAGAACCTTTTTTTAACCTGCCTACTCTAAAGGAAAACAAGAATTTGAGATAGGTGGGACAGATCTGATACCATTGTGGTATGACTGTTCCTAATTATGCTAAGTCAGTTTGTCTTGAAAATGAGTACTGTTCTAAGCTGTTAAAAGGAAGATTGCATACAGTATCAAGCTATTTTGAGCTGATTTGCATGCACCCAGGCATGAAATCTAGGAGTACTTTAACACGACATGAAATCTAACAGTGCGTTAAGGATGTATGCAACCATTCAGAATTGGTGTTGGTACATTCACAGCACATGTCTGGCTCCTTAAAGCAGCTCTGCCTCTTCCTGAGCCTATATAGCACCCATGTGGTCCCAGAAAAATGATGCTTGAATTAAAAAGGTGATGACAAGATGTTGACCACTTGAGCTATCCTGAGTGCTGAACAGTAGCATTCCATATTTGCAATGTTAAAATTGTGGGATAACTGGAAATTTAAGTGCACTGCCAAATATCTATGATTGGAGTATCTCAGTACCTGTGTTGTTGAGGAGCACTGCCAACAAAGTAGCTTAACGAAAGTCTGTTCATTATTAATTTTAAATTGGGACTGCACTTCCTATTTGCATTTAGAGCAGATGTAATCTTAAAATCTTTATCAAAAAGTAGTAGGCTCTGCAGATGGAGACAATGATAATATCTAACTTCTTCAAGTGAAGTTAAATTTCACTACTTTCCTACTATGAAGAGGGGACTTATCAATACACTACCCTTTTTCTGGTTTTCTTTGATGAAATATGTACTATCATCAGGGTACTTGGAATCTGCTTTATTCACTTGTTAAAGATTTTTGCAAGATTAACTTGTAATAAGATTTCCTTTAAGATACAGAGAACTTGAAACATGTTGTGGCATTGTATTCATCTCCTGGGTGTAGCAGGACATCTGGGAAATTAGGCTATAAAGGAAAAAAAAACTTTAAGGAGGAGAACCATACTTGTACCCAATTGTTCATATTTAAAAACTCCACAGATTTTTTAGATTAGCAGTCCCATTTGGAACATTGGGTTACAGGTACTCTCACCGAGTGGCTGCTATAAACTAATACCTGTCTACTCAAACAAATCAGCAAGATATCCCCTATCATCTCTAGTTTGCATTTGTTTATTTCCTGAGTAGTTAGAGTTCAAGGAGTGGCAGCCACTTGCCATTTTAATTTTTTAAGAAATATCTGTGGATCATGGAGATATTCTTGGAAATAATACTAGAAGTTGGTGCTTCGCAGTATCACCTTTTTAGCTTGCTCAGTACAGGGGACTTGCTTATCTGATCACTGAAAATACCTTTCTATAGCAGTGTGCAAAATGTTTTTAGTTCAAAATACCATGATCAGAGTTCAGAAGTTTTTCCAGTCTTGAAATTCTTGTTCGGAATGTAAAACACTTCTCAAATGATTGGAACATTTGCAACCTTTTTCACAACCTAATTTTTGTATTTTATATAACATTAATTGTATGGAAAGAATGGCTAAAATAAGATTCTAATTGTGAAGTTCTGTGCTCATGCATTCTCAGCTATTCTCTACAAACAGCTGAAAGTCTCATAACTTTCTGGACACATATTTAATAGATATGTGCTTAGTGGATATCTGGTTTACCATCTGTGGTAGTCCAATTCGTTAACATTAAGAACCAGTCAATAAGATACAGAGAAATCATATGGTTCTCCTTTGAGGATTTTTTCATTCAGATTTCAACTAGAGGGATCACTTTTTGAATACAATTTAAGATGGGGGGGAGCAGTATATAAAGATAATTATATGAGAACGTAAGATTTCTCTTCAGCTCCAAAGAGAATACCCATAATAACCCAATGGCAAAGGATTAAATAAACTGGGCTCCAAGATGTGTATTATGCGGTGCCTTCTAGCATCTAAGAGTAAGAAAATCTACCTGATTCACAGCATTTGGCCAGTTCTGTGTTTCAAGGCAGAAACCAGAATGCTTGAAATACACATGGCCTCCTTTACCCTTTAGAGTCCCATCTAAGAAATTTCCAGTATAAAACTGAACACCGGGTTCAGTTGTATAAACTTCCATCATTCGGCCACTAGGAGGATGATAAGCTCTGAAAAAAAGACAGCAGATGGTAGTTAAATGGTTTTGTACCATGAACTTCTACTTGTGGAAACTCAGTTTTTGTCTTGATAAAATGTAGTCTGGCCTATTTTACAGGAATTTGGGGGAGATAAAATGAGGGGACTTAAGCCCCAGAGAAAGGTGGAATATAAACAGCATTTTAAAAGACATGCTAATTTAAAGGAAAACAAGTCAGTCCCTTTAAAATGCAATCAACTCCTGTGTTCTATGGACCTTATTTGCAGATAAGTGGGTATAAGATTGCAGCCTTAGTTTTATTGCCACAAACATGTTACCATTTCACATAATCTAAGAGACCATAAAATATTTAAGAATTAAATTGTCTTAAAAAAAACAAACAGCTGTATCTCCATCCAAAACAAAGGGCCCATTTAAATAATACAGCTAGGCCCAAGTTGGTATTATAAAGTCCATGTGAATCTGGTCTTCATACAGAAACAGAATCAAAGCTCTTAAGTGTTAATAAGGCCCAAGATAGTTGAGAGCCCCCTTCACACAATTCTTAGTTTTCTTGTGAAAACACAAGCAAAATCCGGAAGCACTTTAAAAGTAGGTGCATTAACACCTCCCAAATCTTTGCACTCAAAAGAATAGAAATATGAATAAACCAGCAACACCTGTTTCCAACCCTCTAATTCTGGACAAAAAGAATCCACATTCTACAGGAAAATGAAGCTGATTCCTCAGTAGGACTGTGGTGCTTTGTAGGTAAAGGGGAAAAAAGTACTTCAAAGTACAAAGGTCTCACCTAGCACTTCTTGGCACTTCCTTAAAGCAGTGGCATCTTTTCCTGAGGTTCATGTGGCAGAGGCTGCTATACAATTGCAGGAAAATCTGCATTTGATATAAGGAATGCAGGCAGAGTCCACGTGCATATCCAAGCATCCTCCAAGGTACCTTTTCCCCTTGAAATCCAAAGCACTGTGCAATCCTCTTGCTTAGCTAAGTTACAGTAACATTTTACAACATTCTCTGTCCAGCCAACATAAGTAAATTACGTGGTAATGTGATGGAGCTATCACTGTGGTGGTTATTTCAATGTGGAATGCCTTTCCCTGAGCAGAATAGTATCAGACTCAGCTCTTGATATTTTAGCACCTGGTTCAGATCATTCATTTTGTCACTTATGGTCATAGTGGTGATTATAACAAATGTAGGATTTATTATTTTGTTTGCTCAGCTGGAGGTTTTGTTGATGTTTCTTGTTAACTGTTGTTTTCTGTGCTGGTATATTCTTATGAAGGATGAAAGGCTGATGAAAAATAGTAAAGTAAATATAAAGAAGTGGAAACCCAAGGTTATGATTTCCCATGGCAGTCATAAGTATCCTTCACATTACACTGGCATTAACAGTAAATTCCAGATTTCCACAAAGGCTTAGATCCCAATGAAGCTCAAAGGACACCTTTGATAAGCCTCCATGGCACTTAAAACATAAAAATACCCCTTGTTACAGATTCTATTCCAAAACTGATCTCTACCAGATTAAAAAAATCTACCACTTTTCTAACTTCTCTTATAACCTCCCTGCTGGCTTTCTATATACAGACAGTTGGCTATTTTGCTGTGCTGCTGTTGTTCTCCACTCTTTTTTTTCTTCTTTTTGGAGGCAGGGGGCTCTCATTTTGATGAAGATATTTAAATTGGCATATAGTGGTATATTTTATGAAAAACAGTATATTAATAATTTTGAATCAATCAAAGGAGAAGAAGATAAGGCAAAGTTAGAATGAAGCTTTCAGTACCATTACATACAGAGAATAAATGAATTAAACCAAATATTCACCTGGCACAGAAATGTGGTTCTTTTCTCTGGGCCAAACAAAAGTTGTGATCAAATCCATTCAGATGAAACTTCTGCAAGTGTCTCCCAAGTTCTTTTGGTTTTCGCAGGTCAAATGCAGTATCCTGCACTGGTGTGATCTTTCCTGATGGGGGAGAGGAGAACAAACCAAAAGAGGAGTGGGGACATAAAGGAATTGACGTAGCCTGAAGTATTCAGATGTATAATTATAATTATAAAAACACAAAAGGACATGAAGCATAAAGAAATACAATAACTGTCATCTTTTCACAGTTGTTACTGTTAAGACAATAATCCCTGTACTAAGTACATCAATATGCTGATGTATGCATGATGCATGATTTTAAAAAACACTACTTTATTAAAAAAATAATTTACAGCAAGTTATTGGTATTTCCACATCACACAGTTTTCATTCCAGCTTTAATCCCCAAATCGCTCCCAAAATAGTTGGAAGCAACCTTCAAACCTCTACTTCTGCCAGTCTCAGATCACTGAGAACAGGCAGGGAACACCTTGAGCCAATTAGTTCTTCTTCCAGCTGACTGATATAGTTAAAAAAAACTGGACACAAACTGTCCCACCCCCCTGAGCTGCCACAATTTTTGAAGTAATAATAGCCACCCATCCCTACTCCAGACACAGAGAAAATAAGAAATTGTTGGCAGGTAGAACCTTCTACATTTTCAGGACCTGCATGCATTTGTCAGACTAGTTGCAAGAAAACCAAGTGCCAGTTATGAGAGAAGGTAACCATTCCTTCTATTTCTGTCAAAAAACCCTCTGCTAGCTGTGATGCTGGAAAATTAGCACAGTGATAATAGCATTTTGCAAGCAGGAGCTTTGCACAGTAGCTCTAACCAAGTTTAGGTAACTGTGGGTGGGAGGAGGAGAAAGAATTGCTTGCTTGAATCCAGAAAATGGGTGGTTCAGTGGGGCAAAAAATTGACACACACTGCTTATATAAGCAGGAAAAATCAAGAGGGGCAGATCATTTTTAAACATGTATTGGGAAACTAACCAGAATCTGAGTGGGAAGGATTAAGATCTGTTTGCCAATAAAATTGCCACTTTCTTTAAACATACTGAACTTAAGATGGAACAGATCCTGAGTGAGGCCTCGCTTGCTTCCACCTAAAAGATGGGAAGCAAGAACAAAGCCTATAGTGAAATAAACCGCACACAAGTTTCCATACTGTAAATAAGATTCAGGTTTGCTCATTTCATAAAAATATTGATCCAGCCCTCAACACAAGGTCATGTCAGAGGAATGGGAAGTCCAGAGCTGATCCATATGTAGCACAAAGATAGCTACCTCTTTTGAAATCTGGAAAGAGTAGGTACTACAACCACACCTAAGCATCAGTTCTTAGAACAGCATATTCCAAAGCCATAGGTGGTTTACAAATCAAAAGTCAGTAATGCTATTGTTTCCAATTAAAGGATTTTAAATAGGTAAGCTTGTCTGAGATCCCAGAGATCCACTGCCAATCATATTAATTGGAATAGATGGACCATGATCTGTACTGGCATAAGACAAGTTCCTATGTTCAATATGATTCTAAGAGCAAGTCTTAACTACATTATCCTTTGTGGCCTTCCCTCAAAACAATGTTGTACCTGTTGTAAGCAAGTTTACTTTTATAAATGGATTGAAATTCTAGCAGAGCATTCCCAACCTGACACCACCTGTATTAGACTACAACTTCTTTAACTCCTACCCATTGGGCATCAAAGGAGTTACAGTTCCTCTAGTGTATGTGGACAAACACAGACAACCAGCATCGTCATTCTGAACACTAAGGTGAGGAAATGGCCAGTTGAGATAAAACTGGATGGGGAAGAATAATTTAGGTTATTTGTTTTGAAAAGGAAAACTGCTGAATATCTGGCCATCTGGGAACCAGAGACTGCATCCCTAGTTCTGTAGATCCATGACAAAGAAAATGTTTTTTTTAAAAATCAACATTTGGATGTAAATTACAAAGCATAGTCTCAGACTATGTGTTCTCATTTCTGAAACCTAGCGTCAGAATAAATTTGTTAGTCATTATCTAGACAACTCTCCTATAATTCCAACTTGGGATATGCAACCGGCTAAACTGAAATTTGAAAGCAGGATCTTAAGTCTACAATAACCCCAGTTCTTTTCTTACTAGAATACAGCTCCAACTTCAAAGGGACTCAAATTAACCAACCTGTTGGAATCAGAGTTTCATCCAGTGGCAAGTAAGAATCTGCCTCTATGGTAAATTCATGGTCATAGATATTGGATGACCCCTGAAGTATGAAAACAGAAAATTCTGTAATAGTAGATACAGAGAGATAACATATTGATTTTGTTCTGAGCACAGAACTTTTTAAAAATATATTTTTATTTAAAAAATTTATTACAGTAGTAAAAACTAACACAAACTAAACTTAGAGAAAGAGAAGAGAAAGAAGAATAAAAAGTGCAGGAAAAAAGAAAAAGAAAAGAAAAAATATAATAAAGAAAAAGACAAGAAATATATAAAGAAGTGACTTCCAACCTTCATCACAACAAATATAGACACATTTAATAACTCTTCACCCCCTATAAGGTTACAAACAGATATTTCTTCATCCCATATCCCATCCCTTATCTATAAGCAAATCCATAAAACATCAACTTTTCAATCCTGGTGTCAGTAAAAAGTCCATAAAGGGTTGCCAGAACTTTGCAAAAAAAAGTCTTGAAGAGTTATTAAATGTGTCTATATTTGTTGTGATGAAGGTTGGAAGTCACTTCATCCCATATCCCATCCCTTATCTATAAGCAAATCCATAAAACATCAACTTTTCAATCCTGGTGTCAGTAAAAAGTCCATAAAGGGTTGCCAGAACTTTGCAAAAAAAAGTCTATCCCATATCCCATCCCTTATCTATAAGCAAATCCATAAAACATCAACTTTTCAATCCTGGTGTCAGTAAAAAGTCCATAAAGGGTTGCCAGAACTTTGCAAAAAAAAGTCTTATTTTAACTTTGTTCAAATAAACCAACTTTATATTCCTTCCTTTTACTTCTAACAGTCTTAATCTTTAATTCAATCAAATACTGTCATATGATTTGATTTCTATTCAATTCTTCTTTATCCTATCACACAGATTTCTCCAAGGCTTTAACAAGCATATTTTGTAGATCCAATAAGAAAATATTTCTTATTCTCTTGGTTTATCATTTGTATTTCCCTTTTAATTTTCAAAACTTCAGCCAGTTTCTTTTGTATATCTAGTAAAGCAACTATTCCAAATCATTATCTTGGCCTGTCATTTGTAATTCCACTTTTGGTACTTTCTCTGTCTTGTCAAATAAAATTTGTTCCACATCTGTCATTCCTTCATTAACATCTTTTGAACATAGTCTATCCATAGAAGCAGACATTACTGACAGTGTTGATATTGTAGTTACTAATTTCT